AGGGAGTGGCTATCCTGAACCTCTTATGCTTCCCACGCTCCCCCTGCAGACTGTGTTGTCTCTTGTTTCCCTGCCCTTCCTGGAATGCGCCCCCTCCTTCCTGATAGCCTTGCTCTCTGCTGCAGTCCACCACATTGCCCTCCCCTTCATAGATACATTCCATCATGAACAGTGGTATACATTTTAGCCCAAGCAGAAGAGCATATGCCACCTAACATTAAGGACCATGTTTGATCCTACCTCGAATTCTAGGATGGCCTCCTCCACAGGAAACACTGTATGGTCTTTGTGCTCTTTAGATCTGTCACACACCACGCAGATCGCCATTCGATCATTTTTACAGAAAAGTTTCAGTGGCTCCTGGTGCCTCTGGCATATCTTCTCTCTTGTCTTTCCTTTTTCTTCTGTCTTCTCATTCAGCTTTGGGACGATCTCAGCAATGTTTCTCAGCTCCTGGTTGGGCTTCAGAATTTTTTTCCAGCTGGTTTCTCTACACCGAGGACAGTGAAAGTGTTTCTTTTCCAACAGATCCCAATATTTAGTAATGCAGGTTTGGCAAAAGGTGTGCCCACAGTGTATGGAGACCGGGTCACTGAAATATCCCAAGCAAATGGAGCAGATCAGTTCTTCTTTGAGCCTTCTTGTCATTTCCTCTGTGGACATGATGGCTCCCTGTGCTAAATGTCCAGTTCTTTTCTGGCTAGATATCCCTCTGGGGAAACAGAGCTACGTTCTCACTGCTTTCACTAAACAATCAGAAATCTTGAGGATTTTTTTGTCCTCAAGATTCAGAACAACAAACAGTACCAACAGCAACGAAACTTCTGAATTAATAATTAGGGCACCACTTGACTGCAGAAGACATCAGAGGTTCGTATGCAAAAAAGAAAGTAGTTCAAAAGTTAACATCTGCCATGGAAAGTGCAAAGCCGTGTATTTTGGGCTCAAACAAGGACCTGAAAAGAAATAATTGAACAGACGTAGATGGAAGGGCTGCAAACGATGACTCACATACCAGACGTCAGTATGAGACCTGCCTGATCCTGTATGAAGACAGGGTTTTGTTGGGGCTGATTGGCAGAACTCTGAACTCCTGGATAAAGAGGAAATGTGGGATTTCCTCAAAGGGTGGAAGCATTTAAGCTACTCCCATAGTAATAAATATCTTAAGTAAATATTTAGCAAGCCCTAGAAGCAAATATGTACACCAGAATACTTTCTATATTGTATTTGTGGTTAGGCTGCAAGAGGAAGTTTGTCACGGCAGGTAGAGCTAGCTGAAGCTGTGATTTAACATTTACCAGGTACAGCACAGAAACTATTTTAAAACGTCTCTTTATAATGAATTTGTAACCAATTGCATTCATAATTTTGTATTTCCTTGTGGCTTGATTATAAATACACCCTGTTTCCTGTGTATCCGGGTATGGCCCATGCAATATTTGTCAAACACGTCCACGGGTGCTTGATCTCGCTCTGCAAACCCATCATAAAGTATTGGGAGGCTGAAAAACGCTAGCGTCCTGCCTGAGTAGCCAAAATGACCCCCACCCCCAGAAGGGAGAGGAAACGCGTAAGTTGCACGTGGGATGGAACGGGAGTTTCCTCTTATAGTTCTTTCTCCAACAATTAGCTGCTGAACTACAGTCCTCGCCTCGCTCACCCTGGGCGATGCTGATGGACATCTCTCCCCCCCCCATCCCCTCCCGCACCTTAGGAAGGAACGCAATTTGCCAGTCTCCTGAGCTGCCCCCCCCCCCCAACCGGCTTTCTAGCAGGCAGACGGGATGGGGGGCAGCAGCGCGCAGCCGCCTAGTCGGAAAGCGGCTTGATGGCGAGCAAGCTCTTCCTGCAGGGGGCTCGAGCAGCGCCGCCCCAGACCTTCGCACCGGCGCCGGCCGAGGCTGCTGCCGTGGCGCCGGGAGCCCCTCGCGCGGCCGTGCGGAACTGAGCGGGCGCTGCCGGCGCTTCCGCCGAGCGATGCCTTGCAGGCTCCGGGCCTTGTTCCAGACGCGCCCGGCTGCGCTCGAGGGGGCCGATCGCAAAGGCTTGCGCCTGCTGCCCCCTGGTGTCCCTCCCGCCCCAAATCCACCGCGATTTTGGAAATCAGGGTAGTAGCCAAGCCCAAGAAGGTGACGTTTCTCCAGCGGGCGGAGCGCCCAGACCGGAGCCATCCTCTCCGGAGCTCAGTTCCGCTGCCAGAGCGACCGGTACCGTTGATCCGCGACGAGGAGAGGGGGAGCCTCGGTCGCCATGGAGAACCCGGTGGAAAGCCTGCACAAAGAAGCCACTTGCTCCGTGTGCCTGGAGTACTTCCGAGACCCGGTCTCCATCCCTTGCGGCCACAGCTTTTGCCGCGCCTGCATCACCCAGTGCTGGAAGGAGCAGAGCACCAACTTCTCCTGCCCGCAGTGCCGGGAGATCGCCCTGCAGAGGAATTTCAGACCCAACCGGGAGCTGGGAAACGTGGTGGAAATCACCAGGCGGCTGAGCCTGCACGCCTTGCAGGGGGCCGCTGGGCAGGAAGGAGGGGAGGAGAAGCCGCTGTGCGACAAGCATCAGGAGGCGCTGAAGCTCTTCTGCAGCGAGGAAGAAAGCCTCATTTGCTGCATCTGCAGGGAGGCACGAGCTCACCGGAGCCACACGGTGTTCCCCGTCGAAGAGGCCGCCCAGGACTACAAGGTACGCGGAGCCGCGCGCGCCCCCCGCCCCGCGCAGGTGTGCGCCCGCGCGCTCGCCTTCGGGGCGTCTCCAGGGCCGGTTGCAAATCCCCGGAGGCCGGGGGAGGGCAAGATCCTCGTTTGACCGCCCCTCCCGTTTCTTCTCCCGGCATCCTGCCTCAGTCCGTAGCATGCGGAGAAAGCGGCGATAACTCGTCCTTACGTTTTAACGGATGGGTTTGCTGCTTTCGGTGAAAAATGCCGATCCGATCATTTCAGACACGAAATTATGCTTTAAATGGGAGGCCCTCTGTAAGGATGGCTCGGGGCAGTTGCCCAGCCCTCCAAAAGGCTCTGTGCCTCCATTGGCAGGCTGGCATTTTCTACAGAATGCATCTTGCTCGTTTAAGATGAGAGGAAGATATCCCCGACAAAGGAAGGTATGGCTTGTTACCCCTCCCCCCCCCGATTTAGTGCAATACTCAGGTATCACCCAACTTTGCTCTTTCAGACAACCCCTCCCTTGCCCTTTCCTTCAAGCTGCTTCTCAAAGTTATAGTGATCTTTTCTATGCCCTGCCCCACATCAGGAGTGATTATCTGGTGGTCTCCCATCCACCTATTAACCAAGTTCTGCCTTGCGTAACTTGTTCAGCCAGGTATTGCTAGCTCCTAATCAGGGAGGAAAGGGGGCAATTAATAATAGCTAAATATTTCAAACTCGGATTCTCTTTCTTTAGAAAGAAATTGAATGCCGTCTGCAGAAACTGAAGGAAGAACTGGAGAAACTTCTACGACTAAAACTGGCTGGTGA